TTGTTATCTCAACCTGTTTGGTCAGGTTATGATGAACACACTTTCCTTTGTAATCACAGCCTGGAGTGGGATGTGGACATGTATCTTCGGGCTGAGTGCCAGGGACATTACCCATTTACCCTGCCTTTCCCAACCCAGGAAAATAAACGTTTACAGTTGGTATTAATTTAGGGCCAAGTAAGAACGAATCCTGATTCTACTCAGCTTGACATGGCAGGAAATAATGAAATAGGACTTTGATAGTTCACCTCGTATTTGGAAACCTCGGGAAATGAATTAACTTATTTTTGGTAAACTGTCCATTTAAGATTAGTTTGACTCACTTGATTGTGTCACTTGAGCCCAGTGCCTGTAGTGACCCAAAGACCCTGGTTTCTATGTTGTTCACCTTCTGCGTTGGCAGGGTTAGGGTCTTCATTACTCTCTAATACCATCCTACCCAAAATCAAAATTAATTATGGGAAGTGTTTGTTACATTCTTTACATTTTCCTCGGGAGAGCGTGTGAGAGAGATTGAGATCAGTCTATGATTCCACATATTTAAATTGCATCTCTGCATCGCTCCAATTCTCTGACCTCTTGCAAACCCCTGATTTTAATCACTGTACCATCATCACAAGTGCCTTCACCTGCCTAGGAATTATCTTCCTAAAAACCCCTTTGTGTCTCTACTCCTCTTTCTTACACTTTGTAAAACCTACTTCTTTACATCTTGTGCCTCAGTACCTAATTCTGTCTTTGAACACTTTTATGGAGTGCTTTGGGATTTTGCAACAAGTTGAAAGAGCTATATAAATGCAGAGATAACAAGTTGTAGAGCTGGATGAACACAGCAGGCCAAGCAGCATCAGAGGAGCAGGAAAGCTGACGTTTCGGGCCTGGACCCTTCTTCGGAAAAATGTTTGATATTGGTCATTGACGTGAGGAGATTCCTAATAAGGCTGAAGTTTAAGTCATATTGTGGTACTCTTAGTGGGTGTGAGTTTGTTGCCAGAGGGTAACGTTTCCCCTTTTTTGTGCTGTGTACTCAAATCGTAAACATCTGCATATATGATATAGAGTGATAGAGTTGTACAGCACGGAAACAGACCCTTCGGTCCAACTCATCCATGCCCTTCAGATTCACATATAAATCTAGTCCCATTTGCCAGCATTTGGCCTAAATCCCTCTAAACCCTTCCTATTCATGTACCCGTCCAGGTGCCTTTTAAATGCTGTAATTGTACCAGCCTCCACCACTTCCTCTGGCTGCTCATTCCATACACGCACCATGCTCTGCGTGAAAAAGCTGCCCCTTAGCTCCCTTTCATATCTTTCCTCTCTCCTCTTAAACCTATGCCCCCTAGTTTTAGTCTCTCCTACCCTGGAAAAAAGACCCAGGCTATTCACCCTATCCATGCCCCTCATGATTTTATAAACCTCTATAATGTCACCTCACAGCCTCCAACGTTCCAGGGAAAATAGCCCCAGCCTATTCAGCCTCTCCCTATAGCTCAAACCCTCCAACCCTGGGAATATGCTTGTAAATCTTTTCTGCACCCATTCAAGTTTCACAACATCCTTCCGAGAGGAGGGACACCAGAATATGTTAACATTTTATTGCAAATGACCAACACAGTGACTCCACCAAGATTGTTTATAACATTGACACCATCTATGAAGTGTTCATATCGAACTGGGAAGTCCATATCTATCTTGTGATCTTCTGGTCATTGCACAACTGTGCCTTGTGCATTTATATAGCCCTTCATAGGGAAGGAACTCATCCCAAGATTCTTCACAGGAGCACAATCCAGGACAGGCAGTCTATTTGTTCAGTACCCTATCCACAACTGTCAATGTTAGACCATAAGACACAGGAGCAGAAATAGTCCATTCATCCCATTGAGTCTGCTCTGTCATTTAATGAGATCATGGCTGACCTGGTAACCCTCAACTCCCCTTCCCTGCCTTTCCTCCATAACTGTTAATTCCCTTACTGATTAAAAAGCTGTCTATCTCAGCCTTAAGTACACTTAAGGACCCAGCCTCAACAACCTGTTGTAGTAAAGAATTCCACAGATTCACAACCCTCTGAAAGAAGAAATTCTTCTTCATCTCTTAAATATACAGCACCCTTCTTTGAGCTTCTTTTCCTCCCAACCAGCGACAGGCAGTAGTGGCAGTGTGTACCATCTCCAAGGTGCACTGCAATAACTCAACTAGACTTCTCCAACGTAACCTTCCAAAACCAAAACCTCTTAACACCTAGAAGGACAAGGACAGCAGCAGATGTACAACCCACCTGTGAGTTCCCCTCTGTGCTACACACCATCCTGACTTGGAAATATATCTCCATTCCTTCCTGTCTCTGGGCCAAAATCATGGAACTCCCATCCTTAACAGCTTTGTCCCCCATGCCACTACACATCAAGGACTGCAGTGATTCTTGATGGAATATTGTTGTCATCTTCTTGAGGGCAAGTTGGGGTCAGACATCTTGTGAACAATTAAACAAAAAAAAAGACAAAAATTGACACTGAGCCAAAGGAGGAGAGATTAGGACAGGTTCCCAATAGCCTCTTCAGAGGAAAGGTTGTAAATATTGTGTGTCAAATGGTCAGTATACCTTTCGAAGAAATGATCATGATATCGTGACTGTGTGGAATGTGAAGGTACAAAGGTCTTTGGTCTCCGTTTTAATGAAGCATGATCTGCTGACGAAAACGTGCTACAGTTTGGAACTGAATAGCCTAGTACCAACCCAGACTGTTGCTGGTCTTCTGAATATGATGTTTGTAAAAATTAATGAGGGGTAATATACATCTGTCAGATCTTTCAAGACCATGGTTCCAGTTTCTCGATTGAGGAATAACATAAGGACTGCCACATGAGGTAAAGATTTCCAGCTGGAGGTAAAACTCACATCAGTGAATAAAAGGAAAATTTGAAAGAAGTGTTTAACAAGCTTAATTTTTCATTCGCCGATAACACTTGCAATTTGATGTAACTGTTTTGAAATATGGTTGGGCAAAAACATATTGTCACTTCCTCCGAGCAAATGTTCCCTGCAGCTGCCCCTTTGAAGTAGAAAGTTTTTAGAAATAGTTTGGACACCGCAGTGGCCCTGAAAACAAACACTGCGTACTTTCATGATGTTGAAATTCCTCCTGTAATCGTAGACTATCCTAACCTAACTTTGTCATGTCTGTTTTTCTCCTAGGAACGTGTGTGAAGTGTAGCAAAGCAGTTTATGGAGCGCATCAGGCTTGTCAAGCCATGGGGAACTTGTACCATGACGCCTGTTTCACCTGCAGTGCCTGTAGTAAGTGTTGCCAGGGGCATTTTGGGACTCAGTGCCAGGCAGTGGGTACACAGATACATTCCCGTATAAACAAGGAATAAGACTGGCTATTCAGCCCTTTTGAGCCTGATCCAGCGTTAGACAAGACCTGGCTGATCTGATCAGGAATGTGGATGGAGGTTGCAATCACCCAGCTAACCTTCCGCTCTCTTAAGATGTATCTATGCACCTCTGTCTTATTAATACTCAGATGCTGTTCCCACTGCCTTTTCAAGCAGAAAGATTCAATGGCTATGACTCTGAGACAAAAAAGTCACCTGATCCCTATTTAAATAGATGATTTTTAAACACTGACCCCTTGTCCTAGACTCTCCCATAAAAGAAGGATCCTCTCCTCATCCACCTTGCCAAGAACCATTGGGATTATCTATGTTTCAATCAAATCACCACTTACTGTTTTGATCCCCAGTTGATACAAGTCTAGCCTATCCAACCTTTCCTCGTAGGATGATCCTCTTTCATCAGCCTGGTAAACTTCCTCCAAATGAAAAACTTCCAATGAAATCACATCCTGCCTTAAATAGGGAGACAAATACTATGCACAGTGCTCCAGATGTGATCTAAATGGTATCCTATATAACTGAAGCATACACTCCCTATAATTGTGTTCTATCCCTCTCTTAATAAGCAATGATATCCTACTAAGTACTTGCTGTACCTGCATATTAACCTTTCATGATTCAAGCACTCAAACACCCAGATCCCTCTGCATCTCAAAGTTCTGGAACTTCTCACCATTTAGATAATGTGCTTCTTGTTATTCTTCCTGGCAAAATGGACAGTTTCACATTTTCCCACTTTATACTCCGATTGCAATATTTTTGTCCACTCACTATCTATAACATCCTTATTTCCTGAAATTCACAACTTACTTGCCCCAACTGCACCTGCCATTCCTTTATCCGAGCAAGCGTATATATTCCAGGATGAACACAGCAGGCCAAGCAATACCTGTACACAGAATTCTGAAGAAGGGTCCAGACCCGAAACGTCAGCCTTCCTGCTCTCCTGATGCTGCTTGGCCTGCTGTGTTCATCCAGCTCTACACCTTGTTATCGCAGATTCTCCAGCATCGGCAGTTCCTACTATCTCTGTATATATTCCAGGGACAAGTTGAGGGTCCAGCAATGATCCCTGTGGCATATAATTTGTCACAACTTGCCAACCAGAAAGAGACTAATTTATGCCTACTCTCTGCTACCTAACCATGAAAATATGCTACCTTCACATGACAAGTACATTTGCAATTTGACCCAGCAGCAATTGCATCTCACAGCATTCTCTCAACTCTCTTTTTTTCTCATTTGGATTCTATACAGTGGTGTAGAGGTAATATCAATGAGCTAATAAACCTCAGAAATGGGTAGTGCTCAGGGGAACATTGGTTTGAATTCTGTCATGGCTATCTGGATTATAAATAGGTTATCCACTCACTTGTTGAGGTGGGGGGTAGCGGTGTGGAATCAGGCTGAGGCCAAATGATCTGCTCCAATACGTTCACATTGGCGAATAGTAATTGATTAACTGGCAAAATTGACTGAAGGCGCAGATTGTAAAAACAAAATGTGAAGCAGATTTTAAAGAATTTTAATGTAAAGCACTGTTTGTGGATCTTCATGGAGCTTTTGGTGTAAAAGCTAAAGGTGGGTTTGAAAGATTTGCTCATCTACGCCAAGATAGGGATCAAACCATTTTGGTTTTGATGTTCCGATGGTTCTGCTCAGTATTTAACCAGGGAAAGGTCGGCTTGCATTTTATTCACAGCTGTTCCTTCCCATCGCATCTACGACGGGAATTGAACTGAAGTTGAGACTCCTAATAGTTGTCAAATTCTTGAAGGAGGAAATGTTTTTGAAATATGAGGGGAAACTGTTACTACAGGCAGGAAGCTCAGTAGCCAGATGATTCAGCGTTAAAATGATTGGCTAGAAGGGGAAGATGGAGAGATGTTTTGTAAATGCAGTGAGTCCTTAATGAGCTGGAATTTGAATCTGCTGCTAGGCCGGCTCCGCTTAGTGCCTCTTGAACTTTTGGACCTTCTGACCAAAAAAGGCACTTACTAAATTTGGTCTAAAGGATTTCTAGTTGGCTTTGCACTTGCAGGCATTGGTTGAAAATTGAGAATGGTACACACTTATCACAGTTGGGTCAGGGTGAAAGGGGCTCCAGACCTCATAGCATCATACAGTACAGAAGAGGCCCTTTGGCCCATCGAGTCTGTACCATTGAAATTATACTACTACCTTCCGTAATCCCTCGTTCCTGAACTGGGCCCATAGCCTTGAATGTTGTGCTTATCCAAGTACTTTCTGAAGGGTTGTGAGGTTTCCTGTCTCAACTACCCTCCCAGGTGCTGCATTCCAGACCCCCACCACCCTCTGGCTGAAAACGTTTTGCCTCGAATCCCTCTTAAACCTTTTTTTTTTAATTCATTCGTGGGATGAGAGCATCACTGGTTAGGCAGCATTTATTGCAAGAGGGCAATTAGGAGTCAGTCACATTGCTGTGGGTCTGGAGTCACATGTAGGCCAGACCAGTTAAGGATGGCAGTTTCCTTCCCTAAAGGACACTAGTGAACCAGATGGGTTTTTCTGACAATCAACAATGCATTCATGGTCGTCATTAGACTCTTAATTCCAGAGTTTTTTTTAAATTCAAGTTCCACCAACTATAGTAGCAGGATTCGAACCCAGGTCCCCAGAACGTTGTCTGGGTCTCTGGGTTAACAGTCCAGCGATTTTAAAAACACTAGGCCAGCATCTCCTGCATTTCACTTTAAAATTATGCACCTTTTATTATTGACCCTTCAACTAAGGAAAATCGCTGCTCTCTATTTACCCTGTCCATGCTCCTCATCTTCTACATCTCAATCAGGACTCCCTCAATCTTCTCTAGATCAGTTTCTAACACTCCTCGCTTTGCTAAACTTACTTATTTGGGTGAATAAACTCAGTGCAGTTGAGTCAGCTTTGCCATAGAATCCCTACAGTATGAAAGCAGGCCATTCGGCCCATCTAGTCCACAATGACCCTCTGAAGAGCATCCAGCCCAGACCCACCCCCTCTACCCTATCCCTGTACCCCTACATCTCCCATGGCCAATCTACCTGACCTGTACATCTTTGGACTGTGGGTGGAAAATGGAGCACCCAGAGGAAACCAACATAGTCACTAGAAGAATGCGCAAGCTCCACACAGACAGTCACCCGAGGGTGAATTGACTTCGATCCCTGGCACTGAGCCGCTGTGCCGCCTACACACAATGTTGTAGAGAAGGTGAGCTGCAGGAGTCAGTATGGAAAAGATCAAATAAGTTTTTCTTTTATGGGATGTGGGTGTCATGGTAACGACACCATTTATTGCCCATCTCTAATTGCACCTTGAACTGATTGGCTTCCTCAGCTATTTTAGAAAGCAGTTAAGAATCACCCTAACCCTTACTGATGTTGTTGTGGGTCTGGAGTCATATGTAGTCTGGACCAGGTAAGGATGGCAGTTTTCGCTCCCTAAAAGGACACTAGTGAACCAGTTTTTGTTTAAATGACAAATGATGATAGTTACTTGGTCATTGTTTCTGAGACGAAATTTAAATTCTGCCGCGTTGGAATTTGAACCTGTTTCCATGTGGCATTAACTAGGGTTTCTGTATGCCTAGTCTGCTGACATTACCACTATAGTTCTCCCCCTGACGCCCCCTGCCCCCACCTCCCCCAACCCTCAATAAACGATAAAATAGTTAGAATAATGCTCCTTAAAAGGCAGTGCAAATAATTTCAGAGATTTGCATTAGGAAGAGACGTGGTTCAGCGCCCCATGAAAGGCATTGAAAAGATGGTGGCATTTTGAGTAGGCTCAATCCTTGAGGTCACCAGCCACGAAGCCAACGGGAGATTGGACTAAAACCCGAATCAGTAAACTGTCACACAGGGCAAAGTCATGTTCTGGCCAGACCAGAACTAGCCAAGAAGACATGAAGGAGCAATTTAATCATTGTGGACAATTCAGAAAAAGGTCACATGGGCATCAGCAAACTTAGCAACACGTACTTTTCATCTTTTGAAAGGAAGTGATTTTAGTGAAACGTAGTGTGGCAGTCATCAGTAGATCTAAGGTAGATCTTTTACTTGGATGTTAATTATATCTAATTGTGAGCAAGTGGTTGGCATTAGCCTGTGTTAATGGGAAGGGACTGAATTTGTGACTGTTGGATTAAGAGGTGTATACTTGTGATGTGCATCTCTGTAAATAAATGCTTTGAATTTTGTAAAGATTGGCTTCAATTCTATCCTCCTTGCCTGGCTGTTGGGATTATAACTGATTTTAGAACATTGCTTCAACCAAATTATGACAGTGCCAAAAGAGGAGCAGGTTTAAATTGGTAAAGCATCACATTTCAGAAATATATTCAGTTTATTTGTGCAAAGAGTGATCATTGTAAGATTTGTTTTCCAGGTAAAGCAGTGGAATATGAAATTACAAATGTTTATAATAGTGTGGGATAATGTGATGGTGGGAGGGAAGGAATCTTTGAGTCAGGATGAGCTAAAATAGACCAGTGACCTTCTGGATCTGCGTTTGTTTTTGGAAAGTGATGACTATCAGGGTGGGGATGCTGCTTCTGCTGGTTGGACGTTGTTTGGAACATTGCAAGACCTGGAGATGTTTTTTGCATTTGCTCAGTTATTTTGTTCTCTGAAACACTCCAAACTCGCAGCTATTCCCCTAAGAGCAGTGGAGTTTTATTTATAAAAGTTCCAATTTAACACAGGGTCTTTGTGCAGCAGCAGAGTGGTTTGCTGGACTGAAGGATGTGGTTTGAAAGGAAAGCCAGTGTTAGTTAGGCTTTGGGACTCTGTTTGTGTAAGACCCATTATTGAGAGGCAACAGTAACCCATTGACTGGGTGTGAGATGCCTTGGTCATCTCCAGCCAAACTATCTCTTGGCATTCTGTTCAAATTTCAATGCAAACTCAATTCCATTACTTGAAAGGCAAAATCTCACACGAACAAACCCAATCAGAAAGTCCCATAAAGCACACTTTATAGTAGAGAGACAATGGAGAATAAATTTTTACTCAATATGGTCTTGGTCTACTCACTGGGAAAAAGGATATGATTGAATCAGAAACAGGTCAGAAAACATTTACTCAAATAATTCCTGGGATCAATAAAAGAAAAGTAGAACTTTCATTCCTATGATCAAAAGTTTCATTTGAAAGCAGGTTGGATCTTTACCCATTGGGGTTTAGATGAATGAGGGATGAACTTGCTGAAACCTACTAAGATCGAGTCATAGAGATGTACAAAACAGACCCTTTGGTCCAACTCGTCCATGCTGACTAGATCTAGTCCCATTTGCCGGCATTTGACCCTTATCCTCTAAACCCCTCCTATTTGTATAACCATCCAGATGTCTTTTAAATGCTGTAATTGTACCAGCCTCCACCACTTCCTCTGGCAGCTCATTCCATACACACACTGCATGAAAAAGTTGCCTCTTAGATCCCTTTAAATCTTTCCCTTCTCACCTTAAACCTATGCCTTCTAGTTTTGGACTTCTCTGCCCTGGGGAAAAGACCTTTATTATTCATCCTACCCATGTCCGTTATGATTTTATAAACTCCTATAAAGGTCCACCTCAGCCTCCGTCACTCCAGGTAAAATAGCCCCAACCTATTCAGCCTCTCCCTATAGCTCAAACCGTCCAATCCTGGCAACATCCTTGTAAAGCTTTTCTGAACCTTTTCAAGTTTCACCACATCTTTCCTACAGCAAGGCGAAAAGATCCTCGGGCGGGGGGGGTGCTTGATAGGGTGGATGTTCCGAAGATAGTTCCTCTTTGGAGGAGACTAAAACTAGGAGGTATGGTTTAATAAGGAGGCTCCCTTTTAGATCTGAGATGATGACATTTCTTTCTCTGAAAGTATGGAATCTTATTCTACAGGAAGCAGTTGGAGGGGGGAGGACAAGACAGAAAATTGGGGAACAATGACCACCGTCAGATCAGCTATGATTACATCACGGGGAGAGGCAGACTGGAAAGCCGACCCCTACCTTACTATTCCTTGACGAATTTAAGCTGATGGAGTTTGACTCTCTCTGATGAAAATGAGTTTTATCAAACTCCATAAAGAATCATGGTTCTTCATAATTGTGCCCAGTTACCTGCGATTACTTATTTAAAAATCACTGAAAATGATGCAAAGCCTGAACCATTTAATTGGTGCAGGGAATTTAATATATAGGAAATTCAATCTTACTCAGAATGGTAGATAGAGCACCTGTCTAAAAAAGTTTCACAACATCTTACCTACAGCAAGGCGAAAAGATCCTAGATCGGGAGCTTGAAAGAGTGGTAATGCACTTTGGTAAGAAGAATAAAAGCATAGACTATTTTCTAAATGGGGTGAAAATTCAGATGTCTGAAGTGCAAAGAGACTTGGGAGTTCTAGTCCAGGATTCTCTCAAGGTAAATTTTCCGGTTGAGTCAGTAGTCAGGAAGGCAAATGCAATGTTGGCATTTATTTTGAGAGGACTTGAATATAAAAGCAGGGATGTACTACCGAGGCTTTATAAGGCTCTGGTCAGGCCACATTTGGAGTATTGTGTGCAGTTTTGGGCATCATATCTCAGGAAGGATGTACTGGCCCTGGAGCAGGTTCAGAGGAGGTTCATGAGAATGGTCCCAGGAATGGAAAGCTTAACATATGAGGAACATTTGAGGACTCTGGGACTATGCTCATTGGAGTTTAGAAGGATGAGGGGGGGATCTAATTGAAACTTTCAGAATACTGAATGGCCTGGACAAAGTGGATGTTGGGAAGATGCTTCCATTGGTAGGAGAGACTAGGACCAGAAGGTACAGACTTAGAGTAAAGGGAAGACCTTTTAGAATGGAGATAAGGAGAAACTTCTTCAGCCAGAGAGTGGTGAATCTATGGAATTCACTGCCACAGAAGGCTGTGGAGCAGGTCATTGAGTACATTTAAGACAGAGATAGATAGGTTCTTGATTATCAAGGGGATCAAGAGTTACGGGGAGAAAGCAGGAGAATGGGGTTAAGGAACTTATCAGCCATGATTGAATGGCAGAGCAGACTCGATGGGCCGAATGGCCTAATTTCTGCTCCTATGTCTTATGGATGTTCTGAAGGTGGCTCCTCTTGTGGAGGAGACTAAAACTAGGAGGTATGGTTTCATAAGAAGACTCCCTTTTAGGACTGAGATGATGACATTTCTGAAGATCTCAAATTTGGCAAATTGAATCTTGAGCTGGGTGAGACATAACCCGTTTGTGTTTTATAATTCTTCAGTCTCTATCCTTTCCCAGATGCGGTGGTGTTGGCTGGGCTAGCATTTATTGCTCACCCTGAAAGCGATCCCAGCTGTGTTGTGTCTCTGTCCAATCTCGCTCCTCTGGTCCACCTGTCTCTGGGAAAGAGTTTAGCACCAAAGGACCGTGACGTACAAAGTGATGTACCACATGACCATAAGATATAGGAGGAGAATTTGGCCATTCGGCCCGTTGAGTCTGCTCTGCCATTTGATCATGGGCTAGTATGTTTCTCAGGCTCATTCTCCTGCCTTCCTCTGGTAATCCTGGAACCCCTTGCTAATCAAGCACATGTACTGTGTAATGGTGACAAATTGCTAGAACTCTCAATGTGTAATGGCACCCACAGTGTTGTTAATGAAGAAGTTCCAGGTGTTTGACCCAGTACCCATGTAGGAGCGGTGATTTATTTCCAAGTGAGGATGGGGTCTGTTTGTGTGGTTTGGAGGGGAACCTGATCGTGCTCCTTTCTCCTTCTGGGCGATAGAGGTTGTGCGTTTGGAAGGTGGTTTATGCTGGTTCAAGTGATTGATGTTGGAACCTGGGCAAAATCTTGTACAAAACTCTGCCTCCCGGTCTGGCTGTCAAATCCTACAATCCAGCCCCTGCCAAATGAAATGAATCCCAACTGTGAGATGCTGGCGGGAGCAATGCAGAGCTCCCAGAGATTTGGGAATCTGCCATTAGCAAGGCAAGTGTTTCAGCTCAGCACAAAAAGACAATGAATTAATCTCAGCAATGATAGTGGGATTAGCTCAATAGCCAGGGACAAAATGCGAGACAAATCATCACACTGATATTTGATAGTGCCTGCATTTTATTAGTTGCGTTAATAACGTTTACAAGCTGAAATATGCTGTTTGCAAGAATTGGCAATGCTGTCATTTTTACATTCCACCCAACTTTTATTTATGTGGTGTCTGTGCAGCCAGCTGCATACTCTGTTTCTGAAACATCGACTCCTTCCCCCCACAACAAGTGTGGAATGTTCTGGAATGTTATCACAAAGGATGTGAAAGAAGTTGCTGTGGTTTGCCACAACTGAGATTAGCTGTTCTCTTTTTTTTCTGCATTTAAAAATAGTGATGACAATGAGGAGACTGAATTTTTTTTTGTTTAAATGTAGAAAGTCCCATTGAGCTGTGAACTTTTTGGAATGTCAGTTGTCTCTGTTGTAATTCGTGACTGGCATTTTCAGAATTGTGAGGTTAGAATTAATCAATGTGCACATGGTGGTTAGTTGTGTGTTTATGAATTGAACATTGACCCTCTGTCTCTGTGCCACTTTCATGTTGAGTGTCTCCCTTGATCTCTTCTCTTCCTGCTTACCGTCTGTCTCTCTCAATATCCAATCCCTTGCTTCTTTACCCCGAGCTGTGCCATCCTTCTGACCATCTCCCTTCCTTCAGACTCTCGTTCTCCCTAACTCCCCTCTCTATCAGTGATGGTGTTACTTTTAACTGAGGAAAGACTTGTCTCTTTGTCTACATGTGTGTGCACGTGGGTGTGTCAGAGCACGCGTGTGTGTGTGTGTGTGTGTGTGTGTGTGTGTGTCTTCCATTTCCTCCCCTTACTAGTCACTTTTGCCCTCCAATTTCGTGTTTCTCTCCATCTCTATTTATTCCTGTTTCTATTTCTTTTGATCCCCAGTTCTCCTCTGATCATCTCTCATTTTGTCTCTATAATGTTTTTTTATTCCCTTTCTGTCTTTCATTTCTCTCTCAAGCTATTTTGTGCTTTTAGACATGTTAGTCCGTGTAACAGCACTGCAGTCAGGATCATCTTGAGTCTGGTTTATTTACAACACTAAATATTTACACAGCTAGTGGGATCAGAGTTTTGTACATAGTTTGGGTTCTGTGCTTATTGAGGTTACTGGACATTATACACACATGCACTCCCCCTCTCTCTCTCTCACTCCGCACACACATATATGCACACTCTAATGTTACACAGCGAGTGACTGAAGATGATGAGAGCGCCTTTAGACTGGGAAGCACCTGAATTAAAGATACAGGCCTGTATGGTCGAGAGTCGACACCATGAAACAACACTCTCCCAATCTTCATCCCTTCTGCACAGTCTCTTTTCGTCGTCTCCTCCCCTGACTGTCACCCTCCCCCTCACTGTCACCCTTATTTTACTTCCCCTCCCTCGTCCTCATTGCTCCCCCCCCCACCTCCAATAACAACCCCCCCCACCCTTGCCCCTGGTGGAAGGCAGGAGGAGGGGAACCTCCTTCTCCCAAAGCTAATGGAAACTCTCTGAGTAACTCCCAGTCCCAACTTCCCAACCATTCTCCAGCCTGAATCTGTGATTTCCAGTGAAGCGCGCACTCCCATCGACTGTGCGTTTTCAGAAACCTCCACCTTTTTGTTCAGCGTTCTCTGCCCCAGTTTCTTTTTCTAATAAACCGACCTGATGTGTTTCCCCCTTAGGCCGACGGCTGCGGGGAAAAGCTTTCTACTTTGTCAACGGGAGAGTGTACTGCGAAGAGGATTTTCTGGTGAGGCCAATTAAATTATGATAGTCTGGCAGTGATGGGGTGTACTCGCCAATTGGCCCCGAGATGGGTACACTTTGAGGATCACACGTTGTGTGTATCAAACCGAGGTGTGGGATGTGTTGGTTTTGGAGAAGAGAGAATGGAATTTTAATTTGAAACCACAGGGTGACCACATTGATGACGATCCAGCTGCCGCCATCTTTCCTGAGGCCCACTGATAGGTGGCCAGACTAACTGCCAGCTTGAACCGGAAGGGCCAAAGAACTGCAGATGCCGAAAATCAGAAAGAGAAAACAGAAATTGTTGGAGAAACTCAGCATCTGTGGAGACAAAGAAGTTTCGTTTCGACCCACCTTCAGAACAAGAGTTTTTCCAGCAATTTTTTGCTTCTGTTTCAGATGGAAGGGCGTTGGTCTCGTGAAAGTGCTATGACATACGGGAGTTATTTTGGAGGTCTCAAGTGGGCAGAGGGTGTGCCACACATTTGCTTCCTGGCAGTGAACCGTTGGCTGGCACTGGAGGCCAGTCGAAGCCGAGGGACGAATCAGGAAATCTGGTGAACGATGGTGTGACCACAAACTAGGGCTGACATCTCCCAGGGTCCACCCTGCCCCCAGACCATGACTGATCCAGCTGATACACAACCCCCTCTCCTACCATTACCGCCGAACCTCTTAGAACTGGGGAGGTGCCTTAAACTTGTTTTTGGCCCATTCAAAGTGAAGTTTCATACAGACTCAGAACACACAAACAAGGAGCAGTCATTGGTCATTTGGCCCCTTGATACTGTTCCATCAAACGGCTAAAATCGCGGCTGTTCTGATGATTCCACGTTTCTGTTTACACCCACCTCCCATCACCTTTGACCCCTGTCCTTGCTTATCAAGCATCTATCCACCTCGACCTGAAAAATATCCAAAGATTGTCTTTCTGCCACCCAGGGTGAAATCAGATCAAGTACCTTGGTGTTTATAAAGTGAACCAGGGGTTTGAGTCATGGGTTCGAATCCCATCCCGGCAGGTGGTGAAATTTGATTCCGGTAAAAGTTTGGAATTGAAGCCAGTCTGATGGTAGCGGTGTAAATGCTGTCAACTGTTGTATCAACCCATCTGGTTCATTGATGCCTTTCAGAGAGGGAAATCTGCTGTCCTTACCTGGTCTGAACTACGTGTGACTCCAAACCCACAAAAAACTATTGTTGACTCTTCACTGAATGGCTGTATAGAGCCAATCAGTACAAAGGCAATTGGGGACGGGCAGTAAATGAATTAAAATTAGCTTTTATTGTCACTGTACTCACTCGCATGAGTAACAGTGAAAAGTTTACAAGCTGCCACTTACGGTGCCATCTTAGGTACAAATGTATCTGGGCCCAGAATCTTGGCACGAAGCAGAAAAATAAAGACAGCAAGTTAAGAAGTTAAACATTACAGTCCTTCTTACTAAAGCTTAGAAAAATAAGGAAATACAGGTAATAGTTCAACATCACAGTCTGTAAGCGCCTGGCCATGCTGGGCTTGCCCCCCGGGGGGCTGCCTGTTCCCCCTCTCACTGCGGCCACGCCCCCCTTGCGGGGGCTGCCTGTTCATGCTCTCACCCCTGCCCCCCTCCTGGGGCTATCTGTACCCCCTCTCACTGCCA